AACGACAAGCCATAGCTTGTTGGGGGGGGGGGGACACAAGCCATTGGGTGCATGGGGGAGGGAATGACAGGGCATTGGGGGTGTGTGGGAGGGCGGAACAGGCCAGTGGGGGGATGGGACAAGTTATAGCTTGTGTGGGGAGGGGAACACAAGCCATTGGGTGCATGGGGAGGCCATAGCGTGGGGGTGGCCACCAGGGCCTGGGACTGCCCATGGGTGCTGGGGCTCCCTAGGGCCCGGGGTTTGGCTGGAGCAGGAGGGGCAGGAGCTGCGGCTCTCACAGCTGCCCAAGGGAGCCCCCTTGCTTGGGGCCCTTCCCTGTCCTGGGGATCGCTGCTGGGTGCAATGCAGGGCGAGCAGCGCCATCAGGACCCAGCCAGTCTTTCTCCAGCTGGCAGTGCCTGGGTGCTGCCCCTGCAGGTCATGGTCCAGACCCCCCCCCCAGGGCACCCACACAGGCCCAGGGACACTGCCCTCCCTTCCTAGCCAGCTCCCCATCATGGACCTCCCTGTGAGCACCAGCTAGCAGCCAAGCAAGGCCCTTAAAGCTGCAGGATCCCTTAACCACGAACAAGCTCAGTTTGTCCCCCCGACCCCACCCGCCTTTGCCCTTTCTCCCCAGGCTGTGGGCACATGCAGAGTGCGGGGTCTCTGATGCCCAAGGTCTCCCAGGGTCACATGTGGCACCATTTAGCGCCAGAGTGAAGGAGCACAGAGGTGAGTCATCGCCTAGCCCAGCCTCCCACGCCTTTGAAACATCAGGGGCTGGTGCCTGCTGGCTTGTTGGCGCTACAGTCTGAGGTGGGGCAGCAAATGCTGTGGGGCTGTCACAGCCACGAGAGCATGGGAGAACCTGCAGGGCGAGGCTGAGATCCCCCCAGGCCCCGTCCCTCCTCTGCATTTCCACTGGGTTCCAGGCTCAGTATTCCTGAACCGTAAGGCGAAAAGCTGCAGCCGCCGGGAGCCAGCCTGAGCCCCTCTGCCGGAGGGGAGGGGGCTCCCACCTGAGCGACCTGGTGCACTCACCACAGCTGGGACTTGGGTTTTGTTTCCCACTGGCCCGTGGCAGGCGCCTGGCGCTGTCGTGTACGCGTGTGCGCTCAGATCTGCGTGTGCACCCGGCGCTGCACAGAGCTAGACCAAAGGGCTGCCGGGGCTGGATCTGGGGGGTCGGTTTGGGGGATGAGGCTTTGCATGAAATCCCAGGAGATTTCAGCCGCGGCCGACCCAGAAAACAGCCCATTTCGATCCAGCCCCCAACTCAGACCTGGCAGCAGGAGCAGAGGGTCGGTTCTCCGGGGCGGGAATGGGGGTTGTAAAATGCTGGGCACCCTCAATGGCACGCCGTGAACAGTGGGGGGGGGTCTGTGTGTGCCCATGCGTTTGTGGGCACACGTGTGGGAGCGCAGGTGCATGCCCGTGTCTGTGCATGCAGAAAGTATCCCTGGGATCGGTCAGATTTACTCCAGCACGGGGAACATGAGCTCTCCCCACTGCCCAGCCCCAGCGGCAGCTCTGCGAGGCCAAGCTGTCCAATGGGTAAGTTAGTACTTCATTGCCGAGGCTGGGCTGGCACCAGTCCCTGCACCCCGTCTCCCTGGAGCGTCCCCCAACATTCCCGGCCAGGGCCACACAGAGACAACATACAAAAATATAGAAAAAGATCTGCTCTCGCGCTCCCCCCAACTCAGCCCGTGCCCCCTCGTCCCACCCTCCCCCACTGCGGGGAGTCCCAGCAGAGACGGCGATTCCTGTCCGGCTCCGCCCCGACAAACCTGCTCTGCCCTCGGCCGTCTCCTTGCCTCGGTTCACGATATAAAACCCAGTACGATAAAAGCAAAGAGCTGGTTTTGTGCCAAAGGGTTGAAAAACGACCTCCCAAGTCAAGTACAGAGCAGCCCAGCACACGAAGCCGCGGCACCGGCTCTGAGCCGGGGCTTGGGGGGCCAGGGCAGGGGGTTAATCTGCGTTAGGAACAGACACGTGTTGCTTTAACAGCACTAGGCATGCCACCCGGACAGCGAAAGGCGCCTCCCCAGGGGTTCGGAGGCAGGGTGCAGGACATGCTCAGAGCCGTCCCAGATGGTGTCAGGTCCAGTCGGCTCCGATTCAGGGTTTTTTGTTTTCCCCAAAACACTCTCATGCAAAAAAACAAGACGAGGGGAGAGAGAGAGAGACGCAGCAAGCAAATCCATCCGGCGGCCGGCCGCGAGGCCTCAGGCTTCAACAGTCTCCGCCAGTGGGGGTGCTGGATTTTCCTTCCGTCATCCTCCCCTGCCCGGCTAAGGCTCACGCCATCCCCAGACAGGACTCGCCCACAAGGAGAACAGACGGTTCTGGGAACGGGGCCCGGAGGGGGGAGCGGGGTGTCACGGAGTGGGACAGAGATGGCAGGTGAAGCATGCCACAGACCAAGCCCAGTTCACTGCTCTTCAGCCTCCTCCTCCTCTTCCTCATCCAGTGACACCACCCCCGACGAGGCCACGTCGGAGACTTTCCTCCTGACCCCGCAGCTGTCCCCGTGCAGCTTGCACGCCGTGTGGTAGTCCTTGCAGGGCAGGCCGTCGTCCTCCGTGGGCGAGAGGCAGGACTCCGTGCAGGACATGGAGTACATGGAGTCCTGGCACTCCAGCTGTCCCAGGCTCCGGAAGGCACTTTCTCCAGTCTGAGGGAGCAGCTCCTCCCCTCCGGCCAGGGAGCCCAGCAGCTTGGCGGCCAGTTCGCCCGGCGAGCCCAGCTCCTTGAGGAGCAGCCCGTCCTCCAGGCTGCACAGACTGGAGCACAGGGTCTCCGGGGAGATGGTCTGGGAGGAGTCGCTCTCGGGCTCGCAGGAGCCCTGCCGGACACTGAGCTGGCACAGACGGCTGTGGAGGAGATCCTTCAGGAAGGAGCCGGGCGGCAGCTGGCCTGCAGCATCTGCAACACACAACGGGGGAACTGGCTTCAGCCGCACGGCTTCCCCCTCCCGGCCTGGCCTCCCTCTCTCCCCACAGCGCCACGGGCACTGGGGGGAGTATCCTGGCAGCCGGCTAGGCAGTGCCAGGCAGTGCCGGGCCTCCTGCACGCGCCCGAGGGGAGAAGTGGATTAAAGCGGGTCTTCCCCCCACACCTCGGCTGCTTCCCCTGGCCCTTTCGCTCCCCCTCCCCACATGGCCCCCAGGGAGGGATCTTTCTGTCCCATGCACTGTAGCCTCCTCTCCCATTAGCTTTAGAGACGCCCTCCCCTGCTCCAGCCTGGCTGCCTCTGTCTCTCAACAACAGCGGCCTGCAGCCCCTCTTGCAAACAGCGGAGAGGCGATACCAGCTGCAGCCAAGCGGTGGGTGAGGGAGGGAGCTGCTGCCAAGACAGGAGCAGCGCATCATGCACCCAGGACATTGACCAGGCCAGCAGTCGCCCCGGACGGACGGGACTGCTGGCAGCTGTGGGCATCCAGCCAAGTAGCTGTGTCACTGTGGAGAGCCAGGAAGTGACAGCATTACGGCTGACCCACGCCTGGGCTGGGCTGGGCTCCCGCCACCCCGAGCAAGGCCTGGCCTTCGGAGATCCCACAATGGCTAGAATAACGCCACAGGCCCAACCCCTGGGAAGCAACTTGTAGAAAAGGGTGCCTCAAGGAAATGCAACAGAAACAAACGCATCCCAACGACCTGAGCGTGGGCTAGAGGCCGGGCTGGGCCCCAGCCCCACGGGGCCCATGCCTTTCAGCCCCAGTGAATACTGCGCTCCTGGGCATCCTCTGACCCGAGCCAAAGCCCTGCTCTCCTGCAAGGACTAAGGTCCAGGTTCTGGGCAGTGCCCAGCACGCTGGGTGCACAGCGCCTTGGAAAATCTGCCCCTGAGCATCCCCGTGGGAGCTGTGGGACACAGCAGGAACCCTGGCCCTTAGCCCCCCGGGGAGCTGCAAATCAGAGCTTCCGAGCGGAGGAGTATCCCGGCTCACTTGGCAAGAGGCCCTGCAGCTTCCCCGACACAGAGACTCCCCTTCTCTTGCCCCTGTTGCCTCTGCCTGGCTCCCTCCACCGCTCTCCCCACCCCTCTGCATTGGCCCTGCACCCCAGTTTCGGCAGCTCAGCGATGCCTGGCTGGCCTCGTGGAGAGGCAGCTTGGAAGGCCCCTTCGGGGGAGGCCATGTCCAGGAGCGAAGGGACAGGTCGCAGCACTGGCTCTGACACGCACGTTCTGGGGGGCTGTGGGCCAGGTCACCCCACAGCAGCACTCTCAGAGCTCAGGGGTGCTGGCAGAGCTGTGTGTGGGGAGCTCAGGTGCTCGGGACTGAGGGGCACTGGCAGAGCTGTGTGTGGGGAGCTCAGGGGCTCTGGGGGTCGGGACTGAGGGGCACTGGCAGAGCTGTGTGTGGGGAGCTCAGGGGCTCTGGGGGTCGGGACTGGAGGAGCACTGGGGGAGCTGTGTGTGGGGAGCTCAGGGGCTCTGGGGGTCGGGACTAAGGGGCACTGGCAGAGCTGTGTGTGGGGAGCTCAGGGGCTCTGGGGGTCAGGACTCAGTCCCTGGAAAAATT